TTATTTATTTATTTTTGAGACGAAGTCTCCCTCTGTCACCTAGGCTGGAGGGCAGTGGCTCGATCTCAGCTTACTGTAACCTCTGCCTCCCAAGTTCAAGTGATTCTCCTGCCTCAGCCTCCTGCGTGTCTGGGATTACAGGTGCCCAACACGACGCCAGGCTAATTTTTGTATTTTTAGTAGAGATGGGGTTTTGCCATGTTGACCAGGCTGGTCTGGAACTCCTGACCTCAGGTGATCTGCCCACCTTGGCCTCCCAAAGTGCTGGATTACAGGTGTGAGCCACAGCGCCCGGCCCACTTTCCCTTCTCTTACCTTGCTCTCCTGACCTGTGTCTGAGGGCTCTGCAACCCTTCACATAATCTCCTCCGCTGCTTAAGTCACCTGGTGCTGTGTTTTGGTGCTTGTGGCTTATGTCCTGGCCAGGACGCTCTCAGAGCTCAGGTGTGTGGAGCTATAAGATGGCTGTATTATATTAATTGATCCCACTCTCAGCATCACTGCAGGGACCCTTGAAATAAGACATGTCCAGCCTCAGTGCTAGGGCTTAGCAAATGCAGGGGTGGGGGGTGATATCTGAGTGTGGTTGGTTTTATTTTATGGAAAAACACTAGAAATGGCCGGGCGCTTTGGCTCACGCCTGTAATCCCAGCACTTTGGGAAGCCAAGGCAGGCGGATCACCTGAGGCTGGGAGTTTGAGACCACCCTGACCAACATGGAGAAACCCCTTCTCTACTAAAAATATAAAAAATTAGCCGGGCATGGTGGTGCATGTCTGTAATCCCAGCTACTTGGGAGGCAGAGGCAGGAGAAACGCCTGAACCCAGGAGGCAAAGGTTGAGGTGAGTTGAGATTGTGCCATTGCACTCCAGCCTGGGCAACAAGGGCGAAACTGTCTCAAGAAGAAAGGAAGGGAGGGAGGGACGGAGGGAGGGAGGAAGGAGGAAGGAAGGAAGGAAGAAAAAGAAAGAGACACTGGAAATATCTATTAGAAAAATATCAGCAGTTATGGTGGGCGCGGTGGCTCACACTTGTAATCTTAGCACTTTGGGAGGCTGAGGCATGAGGATGGCTTGAGCCCAGGGGTTTGAGACCAATGTGGAAAACACAGTGAAACTCCATCTCTACCAAAAATACAAAACATTAGCTGGGCGTGGTGGTGTGGGCCTGTAGTTCCAGCTACTCAGGAGGCTGAGGTGGGAGGATGGTTTGCGCCCAGGAGGCGGAGATTGAAGTGAACCCAGATCACGCCACTGCACTCCAGCCAGGGTGACCGAGACTCAGTCTCAAAAAAAAAAAAAAAAAAAAAAGAAAATATTAATAGTTCATTAGTTCTGGATGAAGAGTTGTGGGTGAGTTTAATTCAAAAATTATTATGATTTTGCTTTTCTGTATTTTTGAACTTCCCTACAAGTTGTGATAGGTGATTTAAAAGGAAAAATAAATAAGTAATGCTTTTCTTCCTGGGGCCTTTCCCTTAACTCTTCTGGCTGGGATGTGCCTGGATGGACCAGGCCCTGGGGAGACAGGGAGGCGGGCCCAGGTCTGCTGGGAGATGCTGCTGACTGCTCCCCAGGCTTCCGTAACTGCCTCATAACCATAAGGCATGGGCTGGGCAGGAAATGCCGAGGCAGCAATTCTGCTTATTTAGGGGAGTAGGTGAGGACAGGGGACAAGCCACGCTGCCACAGAGGGCGGTGGGAGGCACTTCCCCTGACAGCAGAACCGTTTAGATGAAGCCAGGCTCCCCAGGGCTTCTTGCTCAGCCTGACCCGGCTGTGAGCGCCAAAGCAGGGAGGCAGCTGAAGGTATGGAGGTGGGGGACAGCTGCGGCCACCCGCTGGGAGGTGGCTGCCCCACGCCTGCCAGGGTTGCTTAGCCTGGGTGTGAAGCACTGGGCTCGATTTAGGCAGCCCTGGGTTCAACTCTCACCTCTGCTTCCTAGCAACTGTGACTCCAGGCAAATGCCTTTGTCTCTCCAGGCCTCCGCTTACCCCTCTGTAAAATGGGCATGACGATTCCTTCCTCCTGAGGCAGTGATTCTTAATCTAGGACGATTTTGCTCCCAATTTGGCAATTACTGGAGGCACTTTGGGTTGCAACAACTGGGGGCGGGGCACGTTGATGTGCCACATGGAAGCCAGTGAGGCTGCCCATGTGCACAGAGCAGCCCCTTCCCCACCCTGCCTTGGAGAATTACCCAGCCTCCAAGGTCAACGGTGCCAAGGTTGAAAACCTTGCCCAGGGTGCAGGTGAGGGTTAATGCAATAACGCAAGCACGGTGCCTGGGCATGCTGTGATGATGATCCAGGCCTCGAAATGCGACCCTTTTCCTGTCACCTCTCAGAACCAGGTGTTGAAACATGAGCTCTGGGGACAAGGGTGCGCCGTTTAGAAGAGGATGGTCTGGGACTTTTGGCTCTGCCGACCTTGTTTTCTCCTTCTCCTGCTGCCTGGAAGATGTCAGAGTTTTTCTAAATGGCAACATTCCCTCCACCCTCCGGGAAGATCAGGGCCTCGGTGTGTCCCTGGGGACTTGGGCTGCCACTCTGATTTATAGTGAGCTCCACCTCCCTGGCCCTGGGTGCACAAGCCAGTCCCAGAAAAGCTGATGCAGCGTGGGCCCAGCTGACGGAGGTTAAGAAGGACAGAATGGGCACCCGCAGAGGTCCCCGACTCCCAGAACCCTCGAGGGTGTTCGGGGACACACCCAGGGTGATATAAAGAGGCATGCCCTCTGCACCACCTCGTGGGTCTCTTCTCAGCCCCCCGATGCCCACCTTCTGTACCAGGGGCTTCTACTGCAGCTCCCATGCCAGCCTGGCGCTGGTGTCTGACAGAGGGTGGCCATTCGCCTCCAGGCAAGAACAGTGCTGGGATGCATTGACGCTCCAGGGCCCCCAGCCCTGTGATCCGGCCAGGGCTGGCCACTGGGACTGGGCCCTGCTGTTCCTGTCTCAAGTTCTGCCTCTAGTTCTGCTTCTAGGTGACATTTTATCATCTCGATGACTAGAAGGACGCACCCGTGTTTACCGACTGCAGCCGGCGCTGCTGTTTGTCTGGGCCCAGCTGCCCTCTGCTCACTTGAAGGCAGGGGCAGTCCTGTTCTGGACAGAGGTGGACTCCTCTGCCTGAGTCATGGACAGTCCTCTTCCTGGTGGCCTGAGGGTCACCATAGGAGGCTGTGGCCAAGGAAGTGTGGATTTCAGTCTCTCTCTGGCCTCAGAGGACTCAGGGGGCCCGGAGGTCAATTAGGGAGGGCCAAGAACTTGATAAGTGTGCATGGAACAGAAAACCCAAATTCTAGTGTTTTAATAATATCAACGTTTATTTTTTTTCTCACACAGTAAGACATGCAGGTGGTGCAGTGGCTCATGCCTGTAATCCCAGCACTTTGGCAGGCCAAGCCCGGAGAATCACTTGAGCCTAGGAGTTTGAGATCAGCCTGGGCAACATAGTGAGACCCCAACTCTATAAAAATAAGTAGATAAATAAAAGCAATGCAGAGGTTGCAGCCAGGGCAAGTGTCCCAGGCTCTGCAACCTCCACCCCCCATCCCTGACAGCTCCACCCTCCACTGTCCTGAGGGCTACACTCTTATTCTCAGTGTCCACAGAGGGCTCCTTCTCCAACCTGCTGACTGAAAAGCAGGGGGAGGGATGAGAGAGAAAAACCAGAGCCACAAACTTGGGACAGCTGAGGCTTTGTGGGGCACGGAGGAAGGAATGGCTTTTAAGGAACTTTCTGGAAGCCCCACCCATTATTCCTGCTTACATCTCACTGCCCAGAGTTGTGTCCCCAGCCACTCCTATCCACAAGGAGGCCCAGAAAGGTGTTTTATCTGGGAGCTTTGGGTCCCAGGCAGTGGGATTCTGTGCATAAGGAAGAAGGTGAGCGTGGAGGCAAGCCAGCTGCGGAGACGCAGGGTCTGGCGGAAGGCACTTTCGGGTCAGCAGAGTGCTGGGGTGGGAGCTGAGAGAGGAGGCCAGGGGGCGCTGGCACGTGAGCTCAGGATGCTGTGAGTCCTAGGCAGTGTCCCGTTGTACCAGCCCCTACTTCTCTGTGTTGTAATCTCCTGCTGTCTCCAAGGCCAAGCTTCTTCCACTTGGTCTTAGCTTAGCTTCGGGGACTCGAGGGAAGAACCCAGGTCTAAACCTTGCAGCCGGGAAAGCACAGGTGCGGTGACAGAAGCCAGTGCCCGGGGCACCTGGAGGTGGAGCAGTAGGAGCAGTTAGCAACCAGGACAGGACCCCAGGACTGCTTCGAAATAAACACAGGCCAACAGGAGGCTGGACCGAGGGGGAAGTGTGGCCCCCAGGGCTGGTAGACCTGCTGGATCCTCAGAAGCAGAGGCCCCAGGAGAGGAGCCCTGAATCTGGGAGCTTCCTCTCGCCACTCCCAAACTGCCCCTGTCCCCTCCAGCACTCCTCCCTAATCTCGAGAAGGTAAGAAGGACATGGCTGCTGGCCTGCCTGGGATCTCTGCCCTGCCCGCCTCTGCCCACCTGGCCACCTGAAACTATGGAAGGAGGCAGTGGCGGAATTGTGGGTTCAGCTAAATCCAATCTTGACATTGGATTTGAGGCTCCGGCTGCAACAGATCCGAGATGACACATCTGTCGGGGGCGGCCACCCAGAGAGTATCAATCAGAGCATGGGATTCAATCTCTACCAGGATTCTCCCTGAGAATTTTCCTTGGATTTCTGTAGAAAAGGGCCCGTGCACTATGGATTTCTTTTTCGGGAAAGCAGGGAGACAACCCGTCAGTGTGGGGAAGCTCCTGGCAAGGACACTTGCAGCCTGGCCCCGGGGTGGGAGAGCTTTGCCAGCCAAGCCTGCGGGGCGGGTGGGCAGAACCCACCCCAGAGGGCCTTTCCACGGCAAGGCCCCGGGAAATGATGGCCCCAACAGGGAAATCGTTTCTTTAAGGCTCTCTTGTGGGTTCCTCTCTAAGCCCAAAACCTGCCCAGCGTCCCCAACACAGAAAGAAAACAGGCCCTGGAGGCAGCAGTGAGCAGACTCTTTACTCCTCGGATTCTACGCCATGGACCCCCGCGGTGACCAGCTTTCCCGCCCCGTCCCCCATACAGGGGACAGTGAATACAAACAAAACTAGTTCTCTACAAATCAAATTGTCCAGGTCTCCCACCCATTCCTTCTCTCCCCCTCCCCCAGACGGTGAGTTTCTTGGTCACCGGGCCTCTGGTGAGACCTGGGGTCTGGTGGGTTGCGGGAAAAATAAAGAAAAAATAGAAAACAGGATCAAGTCAGCGACTGGAATTGTAGGCAACTGGAGGTCGGGGTCCGCCGCTGCCCGTGAGCCCAGGACAGGCCACGGGGCGTCGGCCACAGTCCCGTGTGCGCCAGTATGGTGGGAGGCAGGGCGCGGTGTGGGGCGAGCAGCGTTTCTCCAGACCCACTGGCCCACCGCCAGCCAAAAAAAAAAAAAAAAAAAAAAAAAAAAAAAAAAAAAAAAAAAAAAAAAAAAAAAAAAAAAGAGAGAAATTAAAAAAAAGGAACGGGGCCGCAGATAATAAAAAAGAAAAACGAAACCAAATGGCAGGCGCGGGGGCCGGAGCCCCAAGGCGCCCCTGCTGCGTGGGGAGGGCAGTGCGGGCGGGAGCGCGGGCCGGGCGGGGGGCCCTGCTGAGTAGCACCTGGGAGCGGCTCTGGCCGCACGCTTCTCGCCGCCCGGCCTCGGACGCCGGCCCCGCCCCGGGACCCCAGAACCCCCAGCCCCCGGATGCAGGGCGCGTCCCCCGGGCGGAGCTCAGCGGCCCAGGCGGGCGGCCAGCCCCAGCAGCAGCAGGCAGCCGAGCAGGGTGGCGGGGCGCGGGGCGGCCCCGGGCGCGCGGTCGCAGTCCAGGCCGCCGTCGTCGTCCGCGGGGTCGCAGCGGGGCTGCTCGCAGCGCACGCCGGTGTAGCCGCGCGGGCAGGCGCAGCGCTGGTTCTGCAGGCAGGTGCCTCCGTTCTGGCACAGCAGCTGGTCGTCGTCGCACACGTTGGCTGCGGGCGGAGGGGGCGGTCAGCGCGGGGCGTGGCCGGGTCCCCCCTGCCCCACCTCCGAGCTCCTGCGAAGCGGGCTGTGCGAGCCCCCGGGGGCGCCGTCTGGACTGGGGGTGTAGGAGGCTCCGGGTGCACTGGGTGCGAAACGTCCCCGCTCGGAGGGTCACGGCGCCAGGGCGAGATCTGGCCCCGCCTGCCTCCCACAGCTGCCCCGCTCCCCCGCCCCACTGGCTTCAGTGCGGTTCTTCACACACGCCTGCAGTCTCCAGAGCTGTGCACGTGCTGTTCCGTTCCAGGCCCCTGGAGCGTCCCTCCACCCTCTGCCCGCGGCAAACGCCGACTCGGACAGCCTCCTTTCCTCCGTCCCCGCAAACCCTTTCCAGCCAACCCCAGCTCCGCCTTTCCCGTAGTTCCCACCTGGCACCACCTGTGCCCTTCGTCGCACCAGGCCCCGCCCCGAGCTCCTGGTCCCGCCCCTCAACCAGGGCCCCGCCCCAGGAACATCCTGTCCCCGCCCACATGCCCGCCCCATCCCGCTAGGCCCTGCCCGCCTCGGCTCCGCCCCATCACACCAGGCTCCGCCCACTTCACCGGCCCTGCCCCGTCCCACCAGCACCCGTCCACTTCCCCGGCCCTGCCCCGTCTCGCAAGGCCCCGCCCACCGGCCCTGCCCCGGCCTCACTAGGCTCCGCTCACTGCCTCAGTCCTGCCCCGCCCCGTTTCCGCAGGCCCCGCCCACCAGGGACCGCGCGCACTCACGGTAGCAGCCCTGGCGCCAGTAGTGCGTGGGGAGGCAGTCGTCGCACTTGGGGCCCACCGCGCCCTCGCGGCACTCGCAGAAGCCGGTCTCGTTGCACCGGTCGTGCACGGAGCCTATCTGGTTGCAGTTACACTCTGGACGGACACGGGCACGGGCGCGCGGTCAGGGCTACCTGTGGGCGCCGTCTGCTGGGACCCCCACTATCCCCGTCTCGCAGCCGGGTGTCCACACTCCCCAGGGGATGCTCCCCACACGGGGTCCAGGTGAGCCCGCGGCTGGACGGCGGGTGAGGACTCCCCGGGGTGTCCAGACCTGGAGAGAAGACTCTGGCTTCCTTCCCTGGGATCTAACACCTCCCAGCCCCACCTACCCCAGCCCTGACATTGGTATGGTCTGGGTCAGCCCCTTCCCTTCTCTGGGCAACTAGATGGGTCGCTGACCCTTCCCATCTCCAAAGAGCTATGACTCTGACAGATGGCAGGAGCTCAACAGAGGCCACTGGGCACGTCTGGGGCTGCTTTGTTGGGGGGAGGTGGCCTCCCTCCCTAGCTTCTTTCCAGGAGAGTGGAGGAACAGCCTATCCCTGCTCCTGGGCCGGGCAGGGGGCGGGGCCCAGTTAGTTCCCTTGGGGCTCTGCTCTGTGGGAGGAGGCGAATATCCTCTACCCAGAGAAACCTTGCAGCTCAGTGCTAGGTGGAGGCAGGGAGACCCAGAGCGAGGAGGAGGGTGCCAGGGTGGGGGCACCTCTAATTGGATCCAGAGGCCTTGTCCTGTCCCTGCAGCTTGCCTCCTGTGACGTCAGCGGCTTTGATCACTTAGAGTTGATGGAATTACCTGAAGGCTATCGCCGTAATTCAGACCGACAGCTCCAGCTTTGCCAGAGCCCTTTCTCTGCACAGCTAGAGCCTCCTTCTTCGTGGGGGATGGGCAATAGTGTCCCAAGGGACCTGGCTGGGCAGGGTTGGGGGACAGCCCCTGGGGTTGAGACCTGGTTTCTACCGACGACAGGGACAAGGGGTTCTGGGCAACCATTCCAGGCTGGTGGGTTTTGGTTGGCGGTCATGGCTTTGGTCTTTTGGGCTTGTGTGTCCCCTGACCAGACCCAGGCCCCGATGGACTTCCTTCTCTACCTCAAAGCCAGTCCTAGAGCAGAACTTGGAAGAAAGCAGACCGGGTGCCCACCGGGGGTGAAGAGCAGCTTTATAAGCTGGACCTGGGCTGGTAAATCATTTGAAGAAAAGCTTCAGCAACAAAAAAAGAGCTGAAAACCTTTGATCTGATCTGCCTCCCGATTTGATGAATGAGGAAACCAAGGCCCAGGGAGGGGAAGGGACTTGCCCAAATGCATGCAGCAAGGCCATCTTTTGGCCCTCACCTGGCATCCACCCCTCCACCCCCAGGAGGAGGGATAGGCTGCTCCTCTACCCTTCTGGAAAGGAGCTATTTAGGGGGACCACCCTCCCACACACACCAGCCCCACACAGGTGCTCTGTGGCCTCTGCTGAGTGCCTGCCACCTGCCAGAGTCATAGCTCTTTGGAGCCAGAAGGCTCAGTGTCCCCTCCAGGTGCCCAGAGAGGGAAAGGCCACTGGTAAGTTTTGCAACTCCAATTCTCCTACAGGAGAACCACAAGGGGAGGTTACTAATAGAGCAGCTTCTGGAGATTTCTGTCCCTAGAGACGCTCAGCTGGAGGGGCCCTGAAGTTAGAATTCGCACAGCCTCCCCAGGTGATTCTGATGCAGGGGGCCCCAGAGGCCACCTCACAGTGCAGTGCACCCTGCACGCGTTCCAGTGAGTTCCCTGTGGGTACCCGAGTCCTCTCACCAATGCAGACGTTCTCATCGTCCAGCTCCGCTGAGCCGTTGCGGTAGTAGCCCAGCCGGCAGTGCTGGCAGTGCTGACCTCGCGTGTTGTGCTTGCAGCTGACACAGGTCACCACATTCAGGAAGTCAATGTAGCTGCAGCGGTTGGAGTGGCCGTAGCATTCGCAGTCTGGACCGGCCAAGTGGGAGAAGTACCAATGGTCAGCGAGCATTCAGGGAAACTGAGGCACAGGGCAAGGGAGGACTCACCCATGGTCATGCAAGGAGGGAGGAAGGCATCTTTGGAAAAGGCCCAGGAAGGTGCCCTAGGCCTCCAACCCTTCTATTGGATTTGGGAAGAGACAGGCCTCCCTGCTTTGGACCTGGAGGAGAACCTGAATAGGCTGAGCCCAGGGATTCCCACGTGGCCCTGTGGACAGGGAACCAGGGAGGGCCAGTGGGCAGCACCTGCTAACGCTGACTGGGTGCCAGGGCCAAGTCCTCTCTGAAGGATGCCCGCATGCTGGGGTGATTAGAAAATGATTCATGCAAGGAAGGCAGGGTCATGCCACCTGGCCATGCACTGGGGGAGGGAGGCGCCTGGGTTCACGACGCTCACCATGGTGTCCTTGGGTAAATGAATGCATGCATGGACGCCGGACAAGATGCAATGGGCCAGGAACTCCTGCCCGTGCTGCTTTGGAAGATGGCTGGGAGGAAAATCCCCACCTACCGGACCCTTTCTTTTTTCTTTTTCTTTTTTTTTGAGGCGGAGTTTCGCTCTTGTTGCCCAGGCTGGAGTGCAATGGTGCGATCTTGGCTCACTGCAACCTCTGCCTCCTGGGTTCAAGCGATTCTCCTGCCTCAGCCTCCCGAGTAGCTGAGATTACAAACGCCTGTCATCCTGCCCAGTTAATTTTTTTTTTTTTTTTAATTAGAGATGGAGTTTCACCATATTGGCCAGGCTTGTCTTGAACTCCTGACCTCAGGGGATCACCTGCCTCGGCCTCCCAAAGTGCTGGGATTACAGGCGCGAGCCACTGCGCCTGGCCCAGACTCTTTCTTATTAGCCTGGACTTTCTGCAAGTTTGGTTGTTTTGCAGGATACTGAGTGAGTGCCACTTTAAAGCAGGGGCCCCGGGAACCTGCTTGCCTCCCGCTGGTCCTGGCCTGGCTTCTGACTCGCTGTTCCTGGAAGTACATGGTTGCATACCAAGGACCACCACCACTGTGTTCTGCTGCCTCCTGCACTCCGTCCCTACGTGGTTCTCAGGTTGACCCCCTCCCTAATCAGCTCCACTTCGAGGATCAGACAAGCATGTGACCGCCTGGGGCAAGGCTCTCAGGGATTAGAGGTGAACCCTATGATGTCGTGGAGGATTTGGTGAGGAAAGTCGCCTTCTCTACCCTAAGAATGTGGAGGGCAGCCCTTGGTGTTCCTACTAATGGACACAGTACTCACCCACTCCCCCACTCCCCCAGCAAGAAAGACAACGTGGCTGCCCCTGAACAAGGAAGGACACCAGCTACCCTCTTGAAACACCATCTGTGCATCTTTTGTTTTTTTTTTTTTTTGAGACAGAGTCTTGTTCTGTCGCCAGGCGCCAGGCTGGAGTGCAGTGGTGTGATCTCAGCTCACTGAAACCTCTGCCTCCTGGGTTCAAGCAATTCTCCTGCTTCAGCCTCCCAAGTAGCTGGGACTACAGGCGTGCGCCACCAAGCCCGGCTAATTTTTGTATTTTAATAGAGATGGGGTGTCACCATGTTGGCCAGGATGGTCTTGATCTCTTGACCTTGTGATCCGCCCGCCTTGGCCTCCCAAAGTGCTGGGATTACAGGCATGAGCCACCGCGCCTGGCCTCCATCTGTGCATCTCCAGAGAACCCAGCTTCCCTTTTGTGATGAGATAAGGAGGGACTGATGCAGGCCTCAGTGATCAAGGGCATGGGAGACCCTGGAGAAACAGCCTGTGCCCAGGAGAGATGGTGGCCATTCCCACCTGTGGGCCACTTGGACCTGCCCCCTTCACTTTGTCCCTCCAGAGACAAGGAGAAGGTTTAAGGCATCCTCTAAATGTCCCAAAGAGCAGCATCAGTGACCCGTGTGTCCCAGATTCTGCTTCAACCAAGATGAGCCCCTGGGTCACACCTCCCAGGGGAGCCAGAACAGGTTATTTCTGGCATCTGCTCTGCCTGCTATGTGGCCTGCCCACTGTGCCCAAGTTGGCTTCTGACTCATACCTGCTCCCAGCTCTCTTGGGGAGGGAGGCCTGTAGGGAAGAGAGACTCTCTTTAACCTTGGCCCAGCTACTCCGGGAGGATTTCCGAGCCAGGCATCGGTCCTCTGTCCTGCACCGCCTTTTTCCCATGGCTGTTGGAGAACAGGTGTCAGGGAGGGCTGATGGGGCCCTGGGTCGTTCCTCTTACCTTGGAATTCTTCAATAGGCATCACTTGAGGAGATTTGGGCTTGAGCTGGAAAAGTTTGGAGCCCTTGGCAGGGGCAGGGGCAGCAGCAGGGGTGCCCACAGCTTGGAGAGATGAGAAACAGGTTCTTCTGTCTGCCATGATCCTGCTGCCCAGGGAAGAGCCCAGCAAAGGCTTCCAAGGTGCCCTGGGCCAGCTCTAGGACAGGCAGCCATGCCTGCTCAGATGTGAGGCCGGGAGAGGCCTCTCTGGCCTCAAATCACAAAGCCCCTCTCCTCACAGGGCCCAGGGAGGTGGAGCCCCTTCCTGAAGGAAATTCAGCACACCCTTGAGCTCACAAATCAGCCTTGCCCTTGGTCCGTCTCTGAGACCATGGACACATCTGGGTGGATCAACCCCCCAAATGACTTCTGCAACCCCTGACATCCCCCATGCCGTGCTAAGGCCTTCTCGGAAGCTGAACGGTTTTCAGAAGGATCGACAGCTTTACGTTGCCTACATTTCTCTTGCTCTACCACCGCCTCTCCAAACTCCCTGGAGCATCAAACCCAGAGGCTAAACCTGGCATTTAAGGACTTTGGCATCTCCCTTCCTTTCTGAAACAATCTGCCTGTCCAGCCAAAGTGAGTCGCTTGCTGTCCCTGGAGTTCCGCTCCCAAGTGCTGTCAAGCCAGGAATGCCGACGGCACCTGCCTTCCCCCGCCCAGAATCCCAGCAGGGCCTCAGAGCCCTATCTGTGGGTGAGCAGGCCACTGTCCTGGGAGCGTCACTGCCTCAGCTTCCTTCTGGGGGGGTTTGGTGCCCTGATGAGTCCAGGGCAGGGAAGCGATGGCTCCCGCCAGCTCTGTCCCCATCGCTGGAGAGGACACCGCACCCAGGTCTTCCAAGTTCCTAGGAACCGAACCTCGGACACTCTCTAAATAGGCTTCCAGCGCCAGAGCTTCCTGCCAGTAGAGGGCACTCAAAGCCCTGCTCACAGCTCTAGAGCTGGGGCTGGAGGGAATTTGAACAGGTGAGCTGGAGAGAACAGCTCACCTGTTCCCTGGACCTCAGGCGGTAATTCCCCACCCAGGCTTGGTGAGCTGGGGCCAGGGACAACTTCCCTTCTGGAGACTCAGGCAGTCCCTCATTTCCTTGGTGTGTCTATGGCTGTCGGTGAGCCCCTGCGACTCCTCCCATGTACCAGAGGATGTCAGGGTCTTCCAGGATCCTGCCCTCCCTCCTTTAACCCACACATTTTCCACTTTGTCAGGTTCCCTGCCATCCTACCGCCAAGCTTTGCCCTGGCTGGTCCTGCGGCCTGGAATGTGCCACCTACTCCCTTCACCCGCCACAGTCCACCCTCTGAGGTCTCACGGCCCTAGCTCCTGCAGGAAGCCCCCTCTCACTCTCCCTGGGTTCCAGCAACTGCCCAGGTGTCCTGTGAGCAAGGGCGGCTGGAGAGAGGCTTCCTGTCATGAGAGGCAGCGCCTCCACTTGACTCTGAAGCCCTCGGAGGGAGGGCAGGTGAAGGGCTTGGCATGGGGGTGCCCCATGGAAACTCTCTAAGCAGGTGAGGTTCGGGGGCAGAGCTGGTAGGCGTCCAAGGTCACTCCCCCACCGCTGTGCCTCAGAGCTCCCCAGGCATCCACATTCTACACTCGTGCCCTCGGTTGGTTCCCGTGGGCACAGGTGTAGAACACGTGACCCCAGGTCCCCACCACGCACACCTGCTACTTCCACTACAGAGGGAGGGACCTATGAGTCTAAGAAGGCGCTTCCCCGGGGTCTCGGGCCTGTACAGGCCTTGCCCCCCATACCTTCTGCACGGATGACCACCTGGGACCACCTGCCTGAGAGAGGGGCAGCCGTAGATGGCCTGGTCCACTCTTGGGGGGAAGAACAGAAGACACCAAGTTATGCGAGGGGGTGGAGCTGGACACATACTGAGGCATCACAGCCCCTGCCCCACACGCCCCTTAGAGGCAGCAACACTATAAGGAGTGGCTGTGCCTACACTGGCCAAAACAACTGGGTCCAAATCTACCGCAGAGGCAGCATCTACACTATTGCAGCCTGTGGGGGGCCACGCAGATGCAAAGCCAGCTAGATGGGAGGTGGCCCCATACCTGAGAATCTGCTTACTCTTCAGCGAGACCCTTCTACACTCCCTGCCTGGTCCCCGTTCCGGCTGAGGGACAGAGCTGGGCCAGGCCCCGTCTCTGGGCCCAGACCTCTCTGAGCTGGTGTCTCTGGCTAATGGCTGCAAAGTGGGACATGTGTTCTGGCTGAGATCTTAGATGTGTCCAGAAGTGTCCCAGGCCTCCTGTCCAGCCCCAGTCCTGGGATGGGAGCCTCCCCCAGCGTCCGACCTGCCTCCCTGGTCACTGCCTGTTCACCCAGCATGAGTCAACCCCCAAATGCCACAGTGCTCAGCCCCTAGGCTCACGGGACACAGCCAGGAAGGCAGGCAGGGCTGGCAAAGAACTGCCCTGTGCCCAGATTTCAAAGGCCAAACCCAGAGGGACGGGGGAGGGCTGCCGTCTTTGGCTTCTTGAGGGGATTATACACAATGGTGGCTGTGGGAAAAGAAAAGGAAAAGCTACCAGCTAACAAGTGTGGAAGCCTTTCCAGATGGGAGCGGGGAGCCTTTGGACCCCAATTAACTTTAGTATGATGTTCAGTGGGAAGATGAGGCCGCCAAACCCAAATTGGCAAGGGCTTAATTAGAGCCACGAGAAAACCAGCCCTGAAGGCATTTGCTTCCCAGCCATCTCCCTCCACCCTGCGTGGCCCAGCCCAGGGAAGGATTAGTGTCTCCAGTGGCTTTTTCCGCCTCCAGTGCTGTCCTCCAGACAGCTTAAAATCGGCAGGCGGGATAAATATCTGGGCCAGGAGTCCGAGGGCCCAGCAGGACTCTGGTCAAAGAGCCCGAAGCACCTGTTGGGAGGCACCCGGGGGGATTCAGGATCTTTCAGGGACTGTGGTCTGGGAGGGGGGAGAGTCCTGGCTGGGCTGCCCAGAGACACACTCAGGTGTGCGGGAAGCAAGTTCTTACCACGGGCTGTGCAGTGTGCCAAGGCCCCATGGAAGCCTGGCCTGCTCCTTCAGAGCTGGGAAGCCCTGCAAGCCAGGCCTTAAAGACAGCACAACCTCAGCTGGGCGCGGTGGCTCACGCCTATAATCCCAGCACTTTGGGAGGCAGAGACGGGTGGATCACCTGAGGTCAGGAGTTCGAGGCCAGCCTGGCCAACATGATGAAACCCTGTCTCTACTAAAAATACAAAAAAAAAAAAAAATGAGCTGGGCTTGGTGGACACCTATACTAGGTGGACACCTATAGTCCCAGCTACTCAGGAGGCTGAGGCAGGAGAATCACTTGAACCCAGGAGGCAGAGGTTGCAGTGCACCAGGATTGCACTCCAGCCTGGGCGACAAAGCGAGACTCTGTCTCAAAAAAAAAAAAAAAAAAAAGGCAGCACTACCTCACGGATCCTGGAGGCCTCAGGGCAATAGCTGCGGGTGGCTGAGTTGCCATGCCCTGAGTTCAAATCCTGCCCGTGCCTCTCCATAATTCTGGGGCCCTGGGAAACTGCCTCTTTCTTTTTTCTTCTGAAACAGCTTGATTGAGGTGTAATTACATATCATAAAATCCAGCTGCTGCTACCTAAGCCTCAATCCCCTCACCTGTGGGACTAGGAAAATAACAGCCTCCATCTCACAGAGCTGTGAGCCCAGAATATGATGATCCAATGATCCGAGCACAGCCTTTAGCCCAGGAGAACTCACCCTCAGCAACTGCAATGATCATCTTTATTAATGGGGGCTCCGGGCAGGAGATTCAGCTGCTGAAGAGGAAGGAGGAGCCCCTAGACGTGGGCTGGGGAGGCCACTGGCTCCACTTTGGAGCCACCTCCTCCCCTAATGTCCCACTTCTTGACACAGGGCTGAGGGTGCAGAGCAGCACTGCCTCACCAGGAGGGAGGGTGTGCCTCCTGCTCACTGAGGGGGATGCTCACCTCCCCCACATTCACCACTCCAGCCTGTGACTTTTCCTCTTAAATTCCCAACTTTGCACAATCTGCCCAGCCTCCCACAGCTGCCCTGGCACCAACTCAGACGCAGCTCTGCACATGGATTCAAGGTTCCTGTGTGTGTGTGTGTGTGTTCGTGCATGCATTTGTGTACGTGTGCATGTGCACAAATGTGACATGGAGAGTACCTGACCTCCCAGCCGGACAGACCACTGTTTGGGGACAGGCACAGCACCCGCCATCACTGTTTTTGCTTCTGTCTGCCCACCACAGGCTCGGCAACAAAGCACAGGTCCCTGTGTCTGGGCCAACCTGTGACTGAAGTCCAGAATTCTCAGAGTGACCCATGTCCTCCACCCAAGGAGGACTCCTGGGCCAGGAGGCTTCCCCGAAATCCTCCAGTCTTCTGACCAGCCCCTGCCTCCTGTAAATGCCTCCCACAGTAGGAAGAGGGGACCGGCCCTCGATGGCCTAGGAAGGAGGAGGACTTTCTCTCGGCATTTGCCCCCACTGGGGAGCCTGAGTGCCCACCTCGCAATAGGCGGGGGCAGGAGCTGACGGAGGGACTCTGTTCTTTAGAAATGCCGCCCCTCCAGGGGGAAGGAGCAGTGGGGCAGTTCCCCTGGGATCAGAGAGAGAGAGGGCCAGGGCACTGCCAAAGGGGTCAGAAGTCCCTACCAGGTCCTCCCTGCAGGGTGGTGGCGGACAGGGTAGGGCAGGCACCCCTCCCTGGCTGGGACCGGGAAGAATATCCCTTGGTCACCGTCTTCCTGGTGGCCTCTGGGAAGAATAAATCCTTTAGGCCCCTGGCACTTGCAGTGCACAGAGTCCAGGGACACGCCCCAGGTGAGTCCAGGGGAGGGCAGAGGCCCACCCCAGTACCCCCAGCCTTGAATACATGCGAATCCCTCCTCTGGAGGGGAGTGAGAATCAGGTTTTCATGCTTGTCTGTGGCAGAAACCCGAGTTGGTGGAATGTCTGCCCCTGGCCTGGCCTTGGACCAGACACGCAGCCCCTGGTGTCCAAACCCGGCTCCAGAGGCACCCTCTGCCCTGCTGATCAGAGACCTTTGCTCTCTGGGCTAACCCTGCTCTGTCCATCCCACGGTGGGCTGCTGAGGGGCTGGGGTCAGAGAGGCCCTGGGCGCCAGGTGGGGGCAGGATGGGGGCGGGGCTCCAGGACCACGGAGGCAGAAGCCCTGTTGGGAGACAAGGCCGGTCTTTGACTGCATGTCAGGATGGCCTCGCTGCCCCCAGCACCTTTCTTTCCAGTTTCCCCAGCCGTCTGGCCACACTGGTCTGGGAGCCCTTCCAAGCAATGGCTTGGAGGGGCAGGAGGAAGACGATTTCGGAAGCCGAACTGACCCTTGAGTCCCCTGGCTGGGCTCAGGAACGGGTTGACCCAGGCAACCTAGAAGCCCCTTTGGCCTGTGGCCTCCCAGCTCTAGGGCTCTAGTGTCTCTAAGAGCCAAGCCCCTGCTCTCTCCCCAGGGCTGCCGACCCTCCCACCCCGAGAGAGGGTGACTCAGGCTAGAAGCGGGAGAGGTGAGACGGCAGGGGTCACTGGACCCTGGCACCCACCTGTGGGCTGTGGGGTGCTGGGAGCTGTAGGGGCCCAGGCAGTTGACGTAGAGAGGACAGGGGTGGTGGGGGCCCCTGTCACTGCCGTGGTGGCTGCGGTGGCCACAGGGCCTTTGGGGTTGGGGTCTTTCCGGGACCTGCTGATGCCTGGTGAGAGATGGGAAAAGGAGGACAGGCTGGGGGGGTTGCCGGGGTGGGGACACCACAGAGAAGCAACTTACCTCGGCCGTGCAGACCAGCATTCCCGCAGGGTCCAGCATCTTTCTGTCGCCCTCTGGGCACTGGCTTCCCAGCCAGGGGCTCTCTGGGTCCGGGAAGGACAACTTGGATGGGATGTGGGGCCCCACAGAGCCCTGGTGGAGGGTGACGGCGCACCCCAGAGGCATTGCTGAGATTTGGGATCTGCTACTGGCTGGCTCTTGACATTGACCAGCCCTTTCCTGCTGCCTCTCAGAGCAGATGGCCACCTCCCAGGGGGAGGGGTTTGCAAGGCTGAAATGGGAGGCTGTGCCTGGCACCCTGTGAGCATTTGGGGACAGCCTGTGGGCACCATGTCACCCTTGCCCTCCTGGAGAATTCTCAGGACTCCAATCTTCTGCAGGTGCCCCTCCCTGGACTGACTCTCCTGGGACTTGAGCTGACCTGGACAAGCAGAGCCCTGGGCCAAGCTGGCTGGAGAGGCTGCCAGGGGTAGGCTGCCTCCACGGTCAGACTGGAGGGCGGAATCTGCCCCGGTCGGGGAAGTTCACCCAACTCTTGCCTGGCAGGAGAGACTCCTCTCCCAGATCTGGGTGGGAGAAGAGGCCCCGGTGGCAGGAGGAACGGGGAGTCCACCCAGGGGTCAAGGGACCTGCAAAAGGTCCTGTCCTGTTTTCCAAAGCAGCACTGATGGAGCTCCTGAGAGAGCCTGGGATATGGGGCCGCAGGCCACGGCCAAATGACATATGACACATGACATATGATGTGGAGGGGCGAGAGGTGGAGAAGCAGATGGGGCGTAATTAGAGGAGAGAGCGAATAGGTCCAAGTCCCAGAGGGGACACCGAAGCCCCTTTTTTCTCTCCTGCTTTTTCCAAGACATGCAAAGAGGCTGGTGCAGTGGGGCCCCGGCCGCCCTCCGCAGGTGTGTACTTACTGCCAAAGGAACCTGCAGCGGAACCTGCGGGAGAGAGAGGGGTGTGAGCTGACTGCCTGCAAGGGAGGGGCCTGGCTGTGTCCCCCCAGCAGAGGGGTCAGCAGGGCAGGAGAAACACTTGAGGGTCTCCCTCTCGCAAGAGCACCTGCTCCACTACACGGCTGCTAGCAATGGTGGTGACCTGCAGGGTGTGGACAGGGGTGGATTATCCCGTTTCGTCCTCACTGCAGCCCTGGGACAGAGGAACCACTATTGGCCCATTCTGCAGAGGGAGATACTGAGTCTCAAAGCCATGACTTATCCTTGGGGACATGCTGATGGGTGCCAAACCCTCCACAGGGAGCTGCCCACACACTCCTCTTACTTTAGACTTTTGGACCCACTGGGGAGTGCATGCAGGGTTCCGGTCCAGCCAAGGCAACGTGGCTGGAAAAGCAGCCGAGAAACCCTGGGAGCCACTGCCAGGGTTCGAGTGCGTCCCACGTCCTGGGCACGGCATCAACATCCCCTACATGAACCGCACCATCCTCGCAAAAAACCAATGATGGAGTTTCCTTCCCGATTCCGCAGCTGAGGACACACGGCTGGGGAGAAATAAGCTGGGAGTGGGCGAGGCCTGACAAACCTGGCAGGTCTCTGTGTGTCCAGGGGATGCAGGAGGCCGACGATCCTGGTGTGACCAGGGCGAAAGCCCAGGGTGAGATGCGTCACAGTTGCAAAAGGAAGGAGTTGGTGCCACAGCTTTCCCCACGGAGTTCCCGAGAAAGGGATGTGTGGCACCTGGGTTTCTCCTGGGGAAGCCAAGGCCACGGCCAGCAGGACGGCCCGGGAGGCCTGAGAGGAGGAGCCCATCCTCACCCACTCCTTCCACCACCTCCAGGTCTGCTAGACCCTCAGGACACGTCGGAATGCAGCCACAGTGAGCAAGGGCCCGGACGGGGTGGTGGCCAAGTGAGGCCCCCTGGGGACAGGTGGGACATAGGCAGAGCACAGGGAGATCCTGGGTCCTCTAAGTTGAGCCCTGGAGGCAAGGAGCTGGCCAGGTGAGGGCAGAGGGGTGAGGAGGTGGGAAGACACTGGGAGAGTGAGGGCTACTGCAGGGCTGAGGGGGGCTTTGGGAGAGAGGGCGGGGGGATGGAGGGAAGTTGGAAGAATGTAGCGGGGAGGAGGGTCACCAGTCAAGGTGACCCCCAGACTTGCAGCTTGGCCCGTGGGGGTCCGTGCCACTTACTGAGGAGGGGTCATGATGGGGACAGGTGAGAGCAAAATCAGCCTCTGTCTCCTTGGGCTGTTTCCTGCTGGAGCCCCAGGGAAGGCAGGAGGCTCGGGTGCTGAGGACAGCAGCGCCTCCAGCCTCACCGCTACCCTTGCAAACGCCAGAAGAAATCCCTCCTTCCTGGGACTTGGGGGACTCCCAGGGAAGCAGGAGGTGGGGCCAACTCTGGGAGTCTCCCCTAAATAAGGAAGCTCCAGCTGCCCAGCCCCTACAGGCCTGTCTGTCCATCGCTGGCTAGACCAGGGGTGGTGACTGGGGGTGAGGGTGGGGACAGTGGGTCCTCCTAGGTGTGGCCAGCAGGTAAGAGCCTCAGGCCCATCGATGGGCAGATGGGAGGCCTTGCAGAACCCCCAGGTGCAGGGGGCAAGTAGAAGATAAAAGCCAGACATGGCCAGACGCGGCGGCTCATGCCTGTAATCCCAGCACTTTGGGAGGCCAAGGCAGGAGGGTCACTAGAGCTCAGGAGTTCGAGACCAGCCTGGGCAACATGGCAAAACCCTGTCCCTACAAAACCACATAAATTAGCTGGGCATGGTGGTCCCAGCTAGTTGGGAGGCTGAAGTGGGAGGATCGCTTAAGTCTGGGAGGTTGAGGCTGCGGTGAGCAGTGACTGCGCCACTGACTGCAGCCTGGGCGACAGAGTGAGAGACCTGTCTCTAAAAAAAAATAAAAATAAAGAGGGCGTGATGATGGAGAGAATGGAGGCAGGGAGGAGAGAAGGGAGAGAGGCCCTCAGGACAGACAAAGGAGAGGCAGATTTGTGAGTCAGGGAGAGAGTGACAGCCACTAAAGAGAGGCCTCGGGAAAGGCTCTGGACAAATAACTGGGGATAGGAAGCTGGGTGGAGGCAGTGGCTGGAGTGGGCTGCCAGCCCCTGGGGCGCTCTTTGTGCCTTTGAAGACCTGAGAGTGCTGTTTGGTGCCTGCCAAATCACCCCTTCAAAGGCCTGTCTGACTGCCTGCGGCAGCACATGTGTGACAGGCCTGTCATGGCCTCTGCATGTGGCTTTCAGCTTTGATCAGCCTAAAGTCTCGTAAATCTTTCACCCGTCCAGGGAGGATGCCCAGATGGGGTGCAGGAGCCCACTGCCCCGGCCTGGTGTGGGGGTCAGATCCAGGAGCTGCTCTGAGCCCTGGTGTTTGCACGGAACTCACTGTGAGACCCGGGAAGGCCCCGGGAGTCACTGGGCCTCGGTCTGCTCATCTGGAGAATGGGCCGTAATAAGGACACCACCCTGCGGGGCTATGTGAGGGCGAAGCAAGACGAAGCAGAAAGAGCCTGGGATGGCTCCCCTGGCACGGCCGAGTGAGGACAGGACAGGGGTGGCAGAGAGCGTGTGTGGGGCACTGTGGAGCTGCCCCCACACGCCTCTTATTTTAGGCTTTTGGCCCCACTGGAGAGAGGACAAGAACACTTGTATGCAGGGTTCCTGTCTGACAAAGGCAGCATGGCTGGAAAACCGGCCGAGAAAAGCCCTGGGAGCGGCCGCCAGAGGTCGAGCCGCCGCCAGGAGTTGAGGACACAGCTGTAAAACAGGCGAATAGGAGCCCAGCTCCCAGGGCTGCTCTGAGGACGGCGGGGAGTGCTGAACACGCGACACTTGGCCTTTGTGGCTCGCTCCAAACACCCCAGAGATGCTCATGATCAGGGATGCTGCTGCTGATCCCCTACCTGAAGTGGGGTTCCCACCCCCATCACTTCCTGCCATCCCAAGGGGGTCCCCGGCCAGCCTTCAGGGGGTAAGAAGGGGAAGCGTTGCAGAAATGCCGCTGAGCAGCTCGTCTGGGGTTTCCCTGTGGATCGGGGCTGGAAGGGCAGCTTAGCGTTCTACAGGATGCAGGTGTTCTAGAGGGACTTGTTAACAAACCTGGCGCGTGGGAGCTGCAGAACAAGGGGGTGTGTGTGTGTGTGTGGGCGTGCATGCCTGTGTGTTTCTGTGCATGCACGTGTTTGTACATTTATATGTGTCCATGCCCGTGCATGCAGCTCGTATCTTCCTATGTGCACATTTGCATGCATGTGCCCTCGTATGTGCCTGTGTGCCGGTATGTGTGTGTGTGTATGTGTATGATCCACAGCTCCTGGGATGGATGGGCGGGAGAGACTGCAGCCATGCGGGCTCATGGCCCGGGGCGTGGCACGTACAGGCGTTGGGAGAGCCGTGGGGCAGCGGCAGGTAGGAGCCGGCCCGCCAGGACCGCGTGCGGAAGTTCTTCTTGCACTTGCCGCAGTCAGGGCCGGTGGTGTTGTGCTCGCACTCACACTGCAGGCTGCCCTCCCGGATGGAGCACAGGTTGGCGTGCAGGTTGCACTTGCACCTGGGGAGACACCGAGAGGGCAGAGATGTCAGAGAGCTCACGGGCAGCCTGGCCTGGACTTTGGGGAAAGGGGTGCCTCCCAGGAGGCGTTGGGCTGCCCAGGAAGAAACCCTGGAGGCCGCCAGCCCAAGCTTCGGGGCAGAAACTCCTTGATTGCCCTCCTGCAGAGAGATCAACGTTGTGTGTTCCAAAGGCTGCCCCTACACTCACTGTGTGGCTCTCCTCTCCACTCTGATGCTGGGTTCAATGATTCCCCACATCTCAGTTGGGGACAGTGATGATACTCCCTTGTCCTAGATGCTAGATTCTTAGTAACGCAGCTTCAGAACACCCTAGGACCGCACCCCTCACCCAACTTTTTTTTTGAGATGCAGTCTCACACTGTCATCTGGGCTGAAGTGCAATGGCCTGACCATGGCTTATTGCAACCTCCACCCCCGCTTCCCCCTTCCCCGTTGAAGTGATTCTCCTGCCTCAGCCTCCTGAGTAGCTGGGATTACAGGCATGGCTAATTCTTTTGTAGTTTTAGTAGAGATGGGGTTTCTCCACCTTGGCCAGGCTGGTCTTGAACTCCTGAACTCGTGATCTGCTGCCTCGGCCTCCCGAGTGCTGAGAATGCTGAGATTACAGGCGTGAGCCACACTCCTGGCTTGATCACCCTAGCTCTTGGCTGAGGTGGGTTGATGGGTGGCAGGGGCTTCTGCCAGCCCCTGGTGTAGATGGGGACCCGGCCATGGGCTGCATCTCATTGTGTAGACAGGCACCTGGCTTTGGCCTGGACCTCTGCTGTCAGCTTGTGGCCCATGGCCACGCCCTTGAGGGTGACAGAACCCCGAACTCCCACGCCCTGTCAGTTCATACACACATGTGTTATTCATCCATTCATTCAAACATTTAGAAGCGACTCATTATTCTGAAAACTGGTAAATAAAGGGAAAGAATCAAGCATTTATCCTGCCTGTCCTATATAAACTGTACCTCGGGGTAACTGACAGTTGATGAGGGGAAGTTTCTTTTTATAGAAGCATTTCAGGAGAGAATTAGCAATCCCTAATGAATGAATGGCTCCAGGCACAGAGCCGCACCAGCCCCAGACTTCCCAAGAGAGGCCAGCAGAGAGTGAGCTTCTCTAGAAGAGAAGAGAAGCTCCCACGCGGAGCTGTCTCACCAAAGCAATTGAACCTGAATCAGATCAAGTCTCTAGATCCAGCTGTGAGCACCCGGGAAAGACGGAGGACAGAGCATCACACTGGCTGACACCAGGGGGCGACGTCTGCAAGATCCAGACTGGAGGATACTCTGGCAGTAATGACCCAGTTTTTTCAACTGATGAGGAATTGCATGGGAGAAAAAATTGATATGGAAAAAGGATGGACCTAGAGCAAGAGCAGCCTCAAAAACATACCAGTTAATGGCAGAAGCGAAGCTCCTCTGGCCCTTGGTTCAAACAACCTGTAAAATCAAACACGCAAACAAATGGAATGTATATTTATGAGATAACTGGAAATTTGGACATTGCCTATATTAGATGATATTAAATTAGTGTTTACTAGGTGTGATGATGATAGTGTGGCTATGTTTTTTAAAGTCCTTATCTTTTAGAGGATCACACAGGCCAGGCATGGTGATGCACACCTGTAATCCCAGCACTTTAGGAGGCTGAGGCAGGAGGACTGAGCCCAGGAATTTGAGGTCAGCCTGGGTAACATAGTGAGATCCCATTTCTACAAAAAATTAAAAAAATAGCCAGTGTGGTGGCGCATGCCTGCAGTCCTAGCTTCTCAAGAGGCTAGGGCGGGGGGGATCCCTTGAGCCTAGGAGTTTGAGGCTGCAGCGAGCCATGTTTGCACCACTACACTGTAGCCTGGGGAACAGAGCAAGACTGTTTCAAAAAAGAAAAGAAAAGAAAAAAAAAAGGGCCAGGTGTGGTGGCTCAGGGCTGTAATCCCAGCACTTTGGGAGACCAAAGCAGGTGGATCACCTGAGGTCAGGAGTTCGAGACTAGCCTGGCCAACAGGTCAAAACCCCATCTCTACTAAAAATACAAAATTAGCCAGGTGTGGTGATGCATTCGGTAACCCCAGCTACTGAGAGGCCGAGGCAGAAGAATTGCTTGAACCTGGTAGGCGGAGGTTGCAGTGAGCCATTGCACCACTACACTCCAGCTCGGGAAACAGAGCAAGACTCCATTTCAAAAGAGAGAGAGAGAGACAGAGAGATACACACAGAAATATTTACAGATAAAATTTTCTGATGGGCAGAGGTACAGATGAAACAAGAAGGTCCACTAGTTGATAACTACAGTCAGGTTGGGGGAACACAGAGGTGCGTCATAGAAGATTCTCTCTTCTTTTGTGTCGGAAATTCTCCATGATAAAAAGTGGAGGAGAGAGAGTGTGTTCTATATCCTGATGTGGGAAGATTTCCAAGATACATTGTCAATATTTGGAAAAAGCAAATTGCAGAACAATGGGTTTAGCAGAATCCTATTTTTATTATAATATGGAAATAAAAATATTTATCAGGCACCTGTTATGTGGCAGGCTCTGAGCTGGGAACAGTGAGTGTAATGTCAACGAAGCAGATGGCTCCCTGCCCCGATGATGCTTGGGGTCTAGCAGGGAGACAATGAACACAATCAGTGATTGGAGGGGACAGGGAGGGAGGATAAAGAGGTGGCACACAAGGGGTTTTTAGGGCAGTGAGACCATTCTTTATGATGCCGCGATGATAGATACTTGGCATTACACATATGGCGAAACCCACTGATGTGTCCGACACAGAGTGAGTCCTAATGTAAACCACAGGCTCTAGTGAATGATACCGCATCAGCGTTGGCTCAAAACTGTAACACATATATCCCATGATAGGGGAAACTGTGTGGAAAGAACTCTCTGTACTATCTGCTCAGTTTTCTGTGTACCTGAAACTGCTCTAAAAATAAGGTCTATTAATTATAAAAATAATAATCACACACATCTTCAAGTGTTCACTTGAACTCTTAAAAGAGCCCAGGCATTGTGCAAAGAAGGAGGTATCACGGGAGTCCGGGCTTCCCAGGAAGAACAGTTGGTTTTTTTTTTTTTTAGACGGAGTCTTGGACTGCAGTGCAGTGGCGCGATCTCAGCTCACTGCAACTTTCGCCTCCCGGGTTCAAGCGATTCTCCTGCCTCAGCCTCCCGAGTAGCTGGGACTACAGGCACCCATCACCACGCCTGGCTAATTTTTATATTTTTAGTAGAGACGGAGTTTCACCATGTTGGCCAGGCTGGTCTCAAACTCCTGACCTTGTGATCCACCCATCTCAGCCTCTCAACGTGCCGGGATTACAAGTATGAGCCACCACACCAGACTTTTTTTTTTCTTTTTAGACGGAGGCTTGCTCTGTATCCCAGGCTGGAGTGCAATGGTGCAATCTCAGCTCACTGCAACCTCAGCCTCCCAAGTTCAAGCGATTCTCCTGCCTCAGCCTCCCCAGTAGCTGGGATCACAGGTGCCTGCCACCTCGCCCAGCTAATTTTTGTATTTCTTTAGTAGAGATGGGGTTTCACCGTGTTGGCCAGGCTGGTCTCGAACTCCTGACCTCAGGTGATCCACTCGCCTCAGCCTCCCAAAGTGCCGGGATTACAGGTGTGAGCCACCACATCCGTCAGAAGAAGAGTTTTAAACTAAGACCTGAAGGAGGATCAAGAATTGACAGCCCAGCAGGGGAGAACCTTCTAGAAAGAGGCAAGAGCATAAGAAAAGCCCTGGGGCTGAGAGGTCAACTGGTGAAGTCTGTAATGAAGCTGGGGGTGGAGAAGGCCAGGCCAGGAGACAGAGATGGGATCTGACCGCGAGTCTTTGGCGGATTGGACGTGTCCTGCTCTGGTCCTTTTTTTTTTTTTTTTTTTTTTTTTTTTTTTTTTTTTTGAGACAGAGTTTCACTCTTATTGCCCAGGCTGGAGTGCAATGGGGTGATCTCAGCTCACCGCAATCTCTGCCTCCCAGGTTCAAATGATTCTCCTGCCCCAGTCTTCCGAAGAGCTGGGACGACAGGCACCAGCCACCACGCCCGGCTGATTTTTATATTTTTAGTAGGGATGGGGTTTCACTATGTTGGCCGGGCTGGTCTCCAACTCCTGACCTCCTGATCCTCCTGCCTCAGCCTCCCACAATGCTGATTACAGGCGTGAGCCACTGCACTGGCCTGGTCCATATTTTATATCACTGTAACTGCTTCATGGAGAATGGCTTGCCTGGGAGACAAAAGCCTGGGCAGGGAGAGCAGTGAGACCCCGCGGACCGAGCCTGGACCGGGGCAGGGCACCGGGGCCCACCCGTCTGGCCCGGGGTGTGCGGGATTGCCTCCTTCGTGGCTCCCGTCCTTTCAGAGATGGTTTCCAGGAGGTGTAACTGACATCTCTTCTCTCTTCATGCTTCCCTTCCGCTGGGCTGGGTGAGACTTCTTTTTTTCTTACCTCACACTCCCCAAATCCTCCCGGATGCCACAGGCTGCAGAGCTCCCTCCTCTTGTTCAGCCTCCCTCAGTCCTGCCAGGAGCTTCCTCTGAGCCCTCCTGCCTCGGCTCTGCCCCGCCTCTGTCCCCATCTGACTGGAAATGAAGGTTCCCGTGGGGCTGCCTTCCTGAGCAAGGATCTGGGTGGGGAAACGGTGACCCTGGTATCTACCATCCCGGGGCTCCCAACTGACCCCCATCTGCCAGCTTTGGTCACCAGGGCTGCCTTCTTTCTTGGGGTCTTCTCTCTGTCCTTGAATTATCCTGCAGAATGGTTAGGGAAATTATGGCACATCCAGGCGATGCAATCTTTGTGTTTTTTGAGACAGAGTCTCACTCTGTCACCCAGGCTGGAGTACTGTGGCATAATCTTGGCTCACTGCAACTTCGGCCCCTTGGGCTCAAGCAATTCTCCCTCTTCAGCCTCCCGAGTAGCTGGGACCACAGTTGCATGCCACCATGCCTGGCTAATTTTATTTTTATTTTTTGTGGAGATGGGGTC